AGAGAGAGAGAGAGAGAGAGAGAGAGAGAGAGAGAGAGAGAGAGAGAGAGAGAGAGAGAGAGAGAGAGAGAAGGGGGGGGAAAGGAGAAATACCTGACCGGGAGTTGTCCCAGTTGCAAGGGTGAAACGAAGTGCATCCGTTCCATATTCACTAATCACATCCAATGGGTTCAAAACATTGCCCAGAGTCTTGGACATCTTTCGACCCTGTCAAAAACATTAACAAATAACCTGTTGTGAAAACTTGAAAAAGGGAAAAAAAAGAAGGTGAAGCATAGAAGAACTAAAAGGTCCTCTCCGAACTCTACAACACCTGGGCGTTTAAGGAGGAAAAGAAAAGAAAAGGAAAAGAAAGGAAAGGAAATGAAAGAAAAGAAAAGAAAAGGGTGAAAGTGTACGTGTAAGACTCAGCAAGAAACTGAAAACGAGCCAACAAAAATCACTAACAGGGTATCCTGGGCACCTTCCCAACCTCCCCTCTGGCAAGTTTTCCCTTTCCCTTTTGTTTGCCAGCTATAACTTTCATGTTAGGACAAACTGAGACTGGGCATGAATGGTTCATTAAACATCATTTGCATTTGAATTTTGAATAGTAAGGCGAGGTTGCATTCGCGACACAACAAACTATTTATTGAAATATATTCTTATTAGACAAGACAAGAAAAAAGTACTGAAATTATAAAATACTTATAAATATATATCATAATGATAATGATTTATTTGAATTATTTTGTGTTCTTTTACAGCCGGTGTGGGGCAAGAACATTCAATGATTTCAATCCCATAGCTTGAAAAAGGAGAAAAGGCAATAACACTTTCCGACAGACTTAGGTAACCGTGGGCTTGCGCACCTGCTCATCTCTGACAAGACCATGAAGGTATACTACATCAAATGGTGCTTTGCCAGTAAACTCTATGCCCATCATCGCCATCCTCGCGACCCAGAAAAAAAGGATATCGTGCCTGTAAGAAAATACAAGTGATTAAAAGGGAAAAAAAGAAAAAAAAGGCCACAATATCACCACATGTTATTAAAGATTCTATAAAGCAACAATGAAGGTGGAGCTCAAAGAAAAGGTTTTCCGGCCTAGTGCTTTAGAGTCATTAGACTGTTAGTGTTCAGGCCTTAGGGTGGTGTTCCTCTTTGAAATTTGAGCAGATAACTGACCAGTCTGACCTC